AGGAGACATGTGGATTCTCGTTAGGAAGGCTGGTCAGATTCCCAATTGTCTGTTGATCTGCTCCCTTGCACTTTTCATTATCCAGAGAACATCTCCCTGATGGCGATGGCGCCGGGCCCCTCTCACCTGACTCTGTGTGCTGATGAAATCTGGTGTGGTGGTCAGCAGCAGGAGTTGCACTGCAAAGGAAGAGAAAGCTAACTGCTTTTCTCATCTGGGACTCTGGTGTGTAACTGTGGGGCAGGCTATACGTACTAACTTACAGTAGGTAGCTCCCCTACTCTGTGAATGAAAAGATGGCCGCATCTCTGTAGATATTACTCTGGAATTTTCCCCAATACACTTAGATTTAAAAATACCCAAACAGAACCCAAAAAACCCAAACTCCACAGCCCTCTGGTCTCATCTTTCTTCCGAGGAGTAGCTTGTGATTTTGAACCACTGGCTTTGAGGTTAGTGCCCAATGCTTAACACCCAGTGCCACCAGGACACTTTTTAGTAGAGAATTCATTGGGTCATATTTACTCTTTGGTACTTAATGGATCCAAATCCGCACCAGAAGCCAGACTTCTTGTGAAGTGGGAATCAACTCACTCTACAAATATAGTTCATGAATTTTCATCATGATCTAGCCAATGCCAGAGAACTGTGGGAACCATAGTAATAACACTATCCTTTCTCATGGTCTCTATCAAAGAGGCTAGTCATATGAATTATGAGGGGAGAAATTATACTTTATAATCACCAATGCTTTCATTTAACCATGAATAACATTAATTCAGGGTAGTTGTAAGTGCATTTTCATGAGAAGTTTGAAATGAGAAAAAGTAGGTCCATATTTCTGGTGGTTTAGAGGGAGTCTAATTTACTTGTAGAATTTTTGGAGATAATCTAGTGTTGCCTAGTTACACACAACAAATTGTACTGGTTATTTTCTTTTTAAAATTTTTTACTTACTTTGGTCATTTTCTATATATCAGGCGCATGTCTGTTTTCAAGGTATAGGAGCTTGAATCACCCAGATGCACTGCCATTGAGTTGTGACCACATAGAACAGAGTGGAACTCCCTCAAGGGGGTTCCAGGACTATAAATCTTTATTGAACTAGAAAGCCTACTCTTTCATCCTAAGGAGCAGCTGGTGGGCTTAAACTGATGACCTCGAGGTTAGCAGCCCAACACATAACCCACTCCACTATCGGGAATCCTAATTCTGACTCATTGGCACATTAAATAGAGTTTCTGAGGCTTCATGAAACCAGAGAGGCTCATCTTTCTTCCATGGAGTGACTGGATTTGAACTTCCAGTTATCAGGACTCCTTAGGATCACCCAAAGGACTTGTTAAAATATAGACCAAAGGGCCCCACTACCAGGGTTTCTGATTCAGTTTGGGAGGTGGGGCTTCACAATTTGTATTTCTAGCAGGTTCCCAGGCGGTGCTGATGCTGCTAGTCCAGGACCACACTTTGAGAACCACCGTTCTGTACAGCATCCCCCGGGGCGGTCTTCCATGCTTCTGAGGAGATGAGTCATGGAAACTGCCTGTGCCACCAGACATCTTGTGTAGACTTTACGGATGCTGCAAGCGGCAGTGCTTCCCAGTAACCTCTGCCCTTAGTCCTACGTCTACCAGCTGGGATGACTCTGCAGACACCTAACCCCCCTAAAATCCCTACACAACTAATTTATCCTCATGAAAATAACAGACAGGGTTTGTTTGGAAAATAGCATTTTGTCCCATGCTAGGAAATGCTTCTTCGGTGTATTCTGTTATGCAATTCCCAACACACCTGATTTCTTTTTTTTAACATTGGGGTATACGTAGATTAAAGTGCACAGAAGATCTTAGGGGAATAGCTTGAGAGATTATAGATACATATGTATACTCTCATAGAGCTTGCTACCTGACACTCATTTAGATCAAGACGTAAAATATTTTCATCATCTCAAAGGATCACTCAGAGCCGTCATTATGACTTCGTTACCATGACTAAGTTCTACGTGCTTTTTGCACTTTATGTAAATAAGCCTAGAAAATATAGTTTTGTGGCTGATATTTTCCCTCAACATGACCATGACATCCAGCTACGTTTTTGTATGGGCTGTCATTCTATATTTTCGATCGCTACTTAATGGTTTTACATGGAATTCTTGTGCCCTCTGTTTGGTCTATATTTAAGTCAGATAATTATATTAGCTAATAAAACAAGCAAATTTTGATGATTATATTACTTACCATGGGCTAACCCCATTGCATCACTTAATCTTTTCAATAGTGTGAGCTAGGTACTTCCATCAATCCATTTTACAGATGAGATTGCTGAGATCAGAGATGGAGCCACATTGGAATATGGGCCCTTCTTTCTCACAGCTCTGAGTTTTCGCTGGTGTATTATCTGGTCTCTCATTCTCATGTATTGCCGATAATCATCAATGAGAAAACATGCAGTTCCTTTAATTTCGAGGACCTTTCCATTTTCAGGTTTTCCTCTTCCTATTCTCTAATGGGTTTAAGGCATTTTTCAGATCTCTGGTGATCTGATTGCTGACACTTATCACTGTCGCAATGTCTCAGCTCCTTCTTCGGATGAATGGATCTATTAGAAGCCTGCTGTCTTTTCTACAAGAATCCATTTCCTTGTTTGCTAGCTCTAAGATTGCACCCCAAATGTCTGCCTTGATCAGTGCAAATTATAGAAGAATCATTTCTGCCCTGTGGCACCTGAATTGTCTCTGAAACATAGTTGTCTTTTCTGCTGAAAGAAATGTCTTTCATGTCAAGCTTCCTTTGACTCTAGTGTCTAATAAATCCCGAGCTGAAGGAAGTTTATTTTCAAGTACAAATTATTCTAGCCACTTCTTTTTGCTGCACTGCTATTTGTTGATAGGAAGTTGGTGGTTAAGCTAACTCCACAGTATCTACTTAAGTGGATTTAAAAGATAATCAGATGCTTTGTACCTTTGATTCAGCATCTAGTTAAAGCCTTCATGTATACTGGTAGTTAAGAATTACTTCTGGAAAACTGATTTGCTCTGCAAACTTTCACCCAATTCACAATACGTTAAATTATATATATATATAATGCTTTCATTGCCACTAAATGATGCCCTTTGTTGGCTTTGGGATTTCCAGAGGATTTAGTTCTTTCTTTTAATGTCCAGCCTCCTGTAACAATAAACACGTATCGGTTAAAATAATGTGAATACAACAATCAAGCTGTTTTCATCTGGGACAAACAGGATCGTTTATTTTCATATTCTTGTGCGGTACGCTGATTGACCTCAGAAATTTGGGTTTCTGCTGTTGAGTACATAGACTTTGTGAGGTTTAGGGTTAGAAAGGTCTGATAACTCTTTCTCCGTGTGATTGAAGAGGAAATGAAGGTCAAGGGTAAACACTGCACTGATCGATGTTTAATCTCTCCTCTCGCTATTTGTTCTGTGACTGCCAACACTGTCAAGTGAGAGGGAGGGAGGGTGGGAAACTCCAAGCAGTGTGACCTGGCTCACCACAACGGAACCCACCATTGATCTTACCACTGATAAGAAACAACTAGCTCTCTGGCCCTTTTGGATGTGACGGAGGAGAAAGCGCACAGCACCATCTGCATCACCCTGCGGAACGTTCTTGCCAAAAGAATTCAACCAGAATCTCATCAAGCCTCTCAGCAAGCCAAACTCACTGCCATTGTGTCACTGCCGAATCACAGGGACCCCGTCGGACAGGGTAGAACTGCCCCTGTGAGTTTACGAGACTGTAACTCTTTACAGGAGTAGAAAGCCCAGCCTTTCTCCTGAAGAGAGGTTTCAGGTCAGCAGCCCAATTTGTATCCACTACACCACCTGTGCTCCTACAACTTGATTAACCTAGTTGAGCTTCTTAGTGCTAATAGCTATCAGAACACACGTAAACATGGGGTCGAGCGGGCTTTTCTGCCTCGGAGGAGTCCTCTGGGTGTGCGTGACTGCAAACTGCAAGGTCAATAGATTTGAACCCATCAAGTACTCTACAGAAGGAAAATGTGGCAGCCTGCTTCCACAGAGATTACAGCCAGGGCGACCTTGTCCTGTCGGCTTGTGCTGCTTTGGGACCTGTTCCATGGTAGTGGGCTTGGCTTTGAACTGGTCTCGAACTTGACCACGCATCAGGACCAGGGAGGAAATGTGAACGCTCGGATGACCAGGCTGTTTTCCTCATCGGTGAGAGGAAACACTTTAGGCCAAACCTTCAGGATGTTACCCTGTGAGCCCAGGTGGGAACCCGCAAAAATAGAGGAAGAACTTCATGGAGACCAAGAGGAAACAACCCCAACGTGCAGAATGTGAGAAATCCTACACTGAAAAACCAGGCTTCGGCACCGCATATGAAGTGGCTTCTGGAAATCAGCATTTAATTCCGTTTGTTTCCCACCACCTTTTGGAAACTCACTTTGATGTGGCATTCAAAAAGGAATGGAGGAGGAGGTGCCGTTCAAGGTTAAAATAGATTCAGAGACGTGTGAACTTCATGTGATGTGCAGATCTTGTGTTGACCCCCATTCTACCAAGTCAGCTATTCGAAGAGTTATTTTAAAGAACCAGGGAATTTAAATACAAATAGAAGATTCGATGATATTAAGGTATTTGGGTATTCATATTTTTGCTATGGTTATATTTTAGAAAGTTTACACTTTTCAAACAAAGTGTTTAATGGATGAAATACGTTGTCTAGCATTTGTATTGAAATGTGTAGCAAGAAGTGAAGAGGTAGGTAAAACATAAAAAAGATTGGGTTTAAAATTTTTCGGAAGACAACATTAAGAAGGAGGTGGAGAGGTGAAATGTGTGAGACTATGCCTCTTTGGTCGTACTCAGTCTTAGACATTCAAATGGGACATAAGCCTGAAGTAAAACAAAGTTGAACTCTGACTGCACGAACTAAAAACCTCCCCCAAACGGGACTTTCAGGAAGAAAATATGTGTTTAGGCATCCACTAGACATACTCTATTTGATTTGCAGGTGATTCGGGGCCTCCTCCTTCTACTGTTATCAACCAAAATGAAACTTTTGCTAAGATCATTTTTAAGCCTAGCGTGGTACAGCAAGCCAAGATAGCCCAGAATGGCATTTTGGGAGATTTCATCGTTAGCTATGATGTTGACAGAGAACACAGCATTGGAGACATCCAGGTAACGGATTCACTGTTCCTCTTTCATGCTGGTTGCTTGATACTTTCAGTTTGATGAAAATTTCAAGATTCTAATAATTACCTGACCGGGGCCTGGTGGCATATTGGGTTACACATTGGGCATCTAAACACAGGTCAACAGGTAGAACCCACCAACCTCTACCCAAAGAGAAAGAGGAGGCTTTCTACTCCCATAAGCAATGCCAGCCTCTGAAACCCAGAGGGACAGTTCTACCCTGCCCTACAGGGGCGCTGTGAGTCAGGATCGACTGAAGGCAGTGAGGAAGAGGAAACTTACCTGAGGGACAGAGAACTTTCTGGCTCTTTCTGAAAAAGTTTGATTTAACTCAAACTATATCTCCAAAGAGACTAGTGGCTTTCCCTTCCTCAGGGCCCAGAGGACCTATTTCCTGCTTCACTAAGCCAGAGAGCAAACAGCTCCATAATACAATTCCCCTGCAGTGTTTCCGGTGAAGTTAGCATTTTAGTTGCTTTTCAGGTTTAATTAGAAGCGACTGCTCCATGGCTCATTTCCCTTTAGGGTTTATTGCTTCAGAGACAGGGTAGGAATATTAATATGTAATAATGTGTGTTTGGAATGTAGACAACCTTGTGCCCACTAGGAAGATTCTTGGTTAAAAACAGATAAGGTTGGAAACAGGATTCCCAAGGGATGAAAGTCAGAAGGGATGGGTAATTAAAATGGAATTAGTAGATACCGCTAATCAAATTGTAAGGGATGATTCAACCCTTGTACAGATCGACTGTGCTCTCTTGGTGGGAACAGGGTCCTCGATCACTTTAGCCTGGAGACGGCCTTGAAATCCTCAGCTTTGTTCTGCGGTGGCCATGGCTTTCAGAGAGGCCAGAGAGGATTCATTTTCATTCTTTCTCCTCCCTCTCTGGGTACTACCATTCTTAGAGATTTCTTTTCTTCTACCAGGTTCTGAATGGCTATTTTGTGCACTACTTTGCACCGAAAGACCTTCCACCTTTACCCAAGAATGTGGTATTTGTGCTTGACAGCAGCGCATCCATGGTAGGAACCAAACTCCGCCAGGTGAGTGACTGCCCACTGTCCACTAATGAGGCCCTCGCTCTTTCTTTCCCACTTGTGCCTGGGATGATGGTCTTTGTGAATGAAGTCCAGTTGGCATACGCATCACTATTTAGCTTTCTTTTCTTTTTTTTTTTTTTTAAACATTTTATTAGGGGCTCATACACACAATCCATACACACATCATTGTGTAAAGCGCATTTGTACATCATTCTCAAAACATTTTCTCTCCACTTAAACCCCCAACATCAGGTCCTCATTTTTCCCCTCCCTCTCCGCTCCCCCCTCCCTCATGAGCCCTTGATAGTTTATAAATTGGTATTTTGTCATATCTTGCCCTGTCCGATGTCTCCCTTTACCCACCTTTCGGTTGTCTGTCCCCCAGGGAGGAGGTCACATATAGTTCCTTGTAATCGGTTCCCTCTTTCCTACCCATTCTCCCTTTACCCTCCCTGTTTCGCCACTCACACCACTGGTCCTGTAGGGCTCATCTGCCCTGGATTCCCTGTATTTTCAGTTCCTATCTGTACCAGTGTACATCCTCTGGTCTAGCCAGACTTGCAAGGTCGAATTCGAGTCATGGTAGTGGGAGCGGGGAGGAAGCATTTAGGAACTAGGGGAAAGTTGTATTTCTCATCGTTGTTACATCACACCCTGACTGGCTCGTCTCCTCCCCGAGACCCCTCTGCAAGGGGATCTCCAGTGGCCTCCTCATGGGCTTTGGATCTCCACTCCGCACTCCCCCCATCATTCACTATGGTAAGATTTTTTGTTCTGATGATGCCTTATACCTGATCCCTTCGACACCTTGTGGTTGCATAGGCTGGTGTGCTTCTTCCATGTGGGCTTTGTTGTTTAGCTTTATTTTCATAGAACATTTCATACCCAATTAACTTAAACCACTGGCATGAATGATCATTCCGACATAGTAGTTTTCAGAAGGAAGAGGGGCATGCTGTAGAAACAGCTTGAAATTAAAGGGTGATGCAACGTGAGCAAGACAGCAGACCCATCCCCAAGGGCCCCTCAGCAGTCCCACTGTTGATGGAACATATGTGCTTCGTGATGGAGCTCTGCGATTTCCCAGCCAATTCTCACTCTGTGGTCCCACATTGGAATCTCATTCTACTTGGTAAAGAATTTCAAATATTTTTCCACAACTGATTATTTTGTAAATGACTTCTTTGGCCATTTTTCCTTTAAATAGCACGTAGTAAGACATATTGATCTTTCCCTCATGGGATCTGGGTTTCCTCTCCCCACAAAATAGCAACAAGAAAAAACTTTGAAATGTCATGTGTGAGGATAGTGGTGAAGTGCACGTTCAGAGAAAGCCAAATATAATTTTGACCTAATGGACCCTGACCCTGTAAACAACACAACTATGGCTGTCCTGAGTCTCACTCACAAGCAGACCTCAGCCTGCAAAGGCTTCCATTTTCAGCATCTCTGCCCTCCCATCCCTGTTTTTCTGAAAAATACCCACTATCTTTTTAAACGTGGATTGACTGATGATGAATTCTGCCTCTGTTTGAAAAGAACCCACTGCACGTCCCTTCTGAAGGATATTTCTACGGAGTGTGAGATCCTGCATCGACTGTTGTATTCTTTCAGAACGTGGATGAACCATTCCATTGTTTTCTGGTGTCCATCTGTGTTGTTGAGAAATAGTGGTGTTTTAACTGTTTTCCTCGGAAGGGAATCTGTCTTTTTTTGTGGACTCCTTTGAAGATTTTCCTCTGTGCGTAGTCTCCTGTCGCTTTCATATCATGGTTCTACATGTAGATTCTACAAAAGTAATTCTTCCGAAGGTTCTGCCTTGAGTGTATAGAGTCCAGGAAAAATTCCCAGGCCTTATCTTTGAAATGCTACCTGTTCATTTTTCCTTTTAGGAGGCCAATGTTAGAGCTTTGCATCTCCTCTTGCTCCTGCACTCCCCACTGTTTAACTCTCCTGCATAATTGCAAACCTGTCACATCACACATTTTAAAAAATCATTTTATTAGGGACTCATACAACTCTTATCACAATCCAT